GCTCCTCTTAAGACTTGTGCTCCAAGTGAACACTTGCTGCAGTGAACAATAAACCAAAAAGACCACAACAAAAATGAACCCTCTGTAGCTTGTGTTTGGGTGGAGGTATGTGTTACTGTTGGAATTTAGGTTGTTTATATGGTTTTTGTCAAATATCTTTCAGCAAACCAGCATTTTTTAGCTGTTTCTGATGATCTTGGAGTACTGCATGTTTGGGAAATCTGTCAGCCACTAAGTCACCCTTCGAGCAATGAGGTTAGTAAGAATTGTTATTTATCTCTGTGACACTTTATCCTAAAACTCCAACACAGAAACAGGCCTGCCTGGAAAAACTTGCCTTCAAATGGATGGCAATTAATTTGAGATCAGTATGGCCATATTCTCCAAAGATCACCTGTAGCAAAGCTACACAGCTCAGATAGGAGGCACCTAAAGGAAACTTGCGTGACAGCTGGAAGAATTCCACTGCTCCAACCTGGCTACATGAAAACACAGTAAAGAGTTCAGCATTTTTTACCACATGTATAAAATGACACCTGGTTTCATGCATTAAAACAATGTTATATAGTGCAGAGTAATGTAAATATACCGAGTTTCTCTTTCTTTACACCTTCCTGTTCACATTTGCAGCAATTTTTTTCCTGTAAATTTGATACTTCGATTTGCACATCTTAGTACCTTGTTACAGCTTGGTTAAAGCACATTTTGCAAACTGTTACTAACATTACCACTCATTCATTCTCTTTTAAAATAAGGACTGTCTGTACCAAAGGGCCATGGGAATAATGGAAACAGTTTTAATTTCTTGTTATTTCCACATCACCTTCAGTTGTTCTTTTCCCCCACCTCCCAGCCAAAGATCAAGCTAGTGTTTTCATCTCATCCAGTCTAGCAGTCTTGCTTGCTACCTAGTCTGTTATTTTTACATCACAAAATCTTCTTCCCACCCTACCCCAGTTTTAAGTTAAGTTTACGTGTGCACTTAAACAGTTTCTAAACATCCCATAAAGGTTTGCTGTGTGCAGAGCTACAGTACGTAGCAATGTAACACCAGGTCAGGAGCCTCATTTTAGTAAAAGTAACTTCTCCAAAGCAAGGCAGGAGCTAAGTGCTAGAACATGAGGAAACACATTGCTTCTGCCCAATTACATGTGTTTTGGAACTACACTACTTAGGGCACAGAATTAATTAACCCAGGAGCAGTCACTAATATTTAGATTACGTTCATTCTAACTCAAGTATTCACCAAAAAATACTAGGTTGTTGAAGAGACTAATGAAAACTAAATCACAGAATCCCAGATAAATGCACAGTGTAATACCGAAGTATGGTATTTTATGGTTTCTTTGTGCCTGAAGTCGGGTCAGTGAAGATTTGGACTGATTCAGTGAAATCACTAACCTGAAACTGGTTTAGTTATTTCAGTGCAGGTTCTTGAAGGATGTGCTACTCAGAGTCAGTGTAATAAAAATTATTTAACCCCATGCATATTTGTATCCCAAATCAATTGGTTTCAATCCACATCTTTATACTGTTTTGCTGCAAATTATTTGGATAAATGGAGATATCTATATTCCCAATATAGATAAACTAATAATACTGTTCAGATCATCAGCAATAATTCAGTGTCTTTGGGCACGTATTGACCCTTGTTCGTCATCACGTTAACAGGATGCCAACGTACTTGATTATTTTGAAAGAGAAGTCAAATACCTGAAGTACTGTGAACAAGAGTTTCAAGAGTATCAAGAGCTTCAAGCCAAAACAGAATTGAAATGGAGCTGGAGGCACAGAGGGAGAAAACAGTACGTTATACTTGGAATTAAGAAAACTTTCTTTGTTTCTCTGGGTCTTTAAAATGCACCGGTTTTGCTAGGCAGGACTTCCCATAGTATTTTCAAAAATGAGGATAGATGTAATCAGAATAGCTTAGCAGCTCCTTATTTTGTATTTACGGTTCTTAGGAGTGGAATAGATGGTCCTAGTTCACGTGAGTTCAGCTCTTGGTCAAGGGAAACTCCTGCAAGAGCATTAGAGCCTATGGACATTTAACAACTATGAATTTGCTTTTGTTTTTACATCAGTTGCTCTTTCAAAAAGTTACATTTTGGCAACTTCCCTATAAACATTGCTCCTTCAAGCAAGGAGAGACTCCCGCCTTCCATTCTTTATTCACATAAGGATTTTGCCTACCCGTTCTTTGGTAAATGGTTTAATAATACCAACTAATCAACCAAGGAAATGACAATGCAGTTAATGTAGCCCTAGGTGATGCCTTTTTTCATTAATTTGTGATAGCACTGATACTATCCACTGGAAAGCAATGGGGTCACATGCAGGTTTTAAAGCTTAACAGTGCATTATTGCCTCGTGTGTGTTTTTCCTTCAGAGTATGACTACTCTACAGAAAACAAAAGAAGAGATGGAGGAGTAAGAAAATGCAGACTACACTGTGTTTCTCAATCTGTAGAAGCAGATACTGTAGAAGCGTCAATGCTCCCTCAACAACAGCAACCTAGTTCTGTTCCCTTAAATGCAGACACAATAAATATTCACCATGCTATAAAGTCTTCTATTTATTACTTACTACACTTAAATAATAGGGGAGCCCCTCGCACCTCTGCTGAATCCGTATGTTCATACACTAAGGGACGACCATATAAACTACTAAACAAATTTCAGGGGCTGCTGCATCAAAAGCCCGGATCTGACCGCACAGTTCATAAACCCTTTGAACTTCACAGGCTGAACCACTTTTACTTGCCATCATCGGATTAGAAAACTGATTGTTACTTAAGCCTGGCAAATGCTTACAAACAGAAAACCAAACGTTCCCTCGAAGAAATCAGTATTATTTAGAACAAACAGCTCTTACCAAGCACACTGTGGCTGTTGAGCGTGTGCATTTCTGTCAAAAGACAATTATTGAGAGAGATCGAACGGTGTTATACAGAAGTTTTAATATTTACCAGCGTAAATGAGTAACAGCTCATGAATATTAATGTTCATCCTCCATCCACAGAGATGACTCTTCTGCAAGCAGTGTTCTGCTGGTTGCTCATTTCAATAGCCAGGTCAGACACCATGTAACTGAGCAGAGCCTGTCAAGCGGAAATCAAATCTATCAGAGGAGGACAGATTAAACTCTATACGGGTGAGTTTCCTCTTTCCATTACTCACCAAACTGTTTGAGGGTCACAGACTCCTGTCAAACAAATGTCCATATGGTCACAGTAGATGCTAAAGCACAAAAGATGGCTGACACACAGGGGATTTGCAGAGAGGATCTTGGGCTGACAAGCGAGAGCCAGCCCCGCTGCTCTGTTTCGTCAGAGTAAAGCATAGCCAAATACAGAACAGGCAGTGCGAGCCTCCTGTGTCCTGAAATAAACATTGCAAATTGGGTTTAGGCAGTGTTAAAAACACGCCCCTGCAATTTTCCACAGCCAGGACCTCCCCATCACATATTTTGACCGCTTTGAACTTTGGTCAGGTTTCAGAGAGGTTTGGTGCCGCTAGGTAGGACTCTGTTTGAAAAGCAGTCTTTTGTTTGAAGCTTAAATATTATAGTAATATTCCTTGCCCCTCATATTAAACTACCTCTAAATTAAAACCAAGGAAAACTCAACAAGCACGTCCCTACCACCTGCAGCAGGGTGTTGGCAGTCAAACAGGAAGAGAACACAGCTCCTCTGCTAAATCAATATTTAACTAACAGCCTGCTCCATTCAGGTATGCAAATATCCCACAGCCAACTAATTAAAAAGCTCAGCTCTCTGTTATCTGGATTTCACCTCAGATCACCTTCCACACATTTCTGATTAACAGGGCTGCAAACTACATATACGTTGAAGTCAACCATACGGTCACGGCTTACCTGGAAAGCCCAACCATCGCCCATCCACTGCAGCTCTGTCCCTACAACCCAGAAGAGGCGGCAGCCTCAACGCGAGCCTTGTTCCCCACCACAGAGGCACTCTTGAGAGTTTTGATTAAGGAAATATTCCAGAAGACAGCCGGATTTCAGCTGGGTTTTCCTAACAGTGAGGACAAGGAGGCAGCAGATCAGGGCTTTGCTGGTCGGCCCCCCTCCCGCCCCACAGCAAAGTAGCCTGGGGAGCTGCAGGAATCCCCCAGTGGAAAGGGAGCAGCCTTCCTGAGAGCTACTTTCCTCCTCACCCCTGTTCCCAAATAACACCAGACATGAGATCATACATCCCATCACGATCTTTTATCCTAATGCAATCCTAGACGTTCAAATACCTGTAGTGTCAGCTTTGCGCTACCTCATGGCAGACTGTTGCACAGGTTAATTTTGCCTAGCAAAGTTCGTTAAGACAGATTATAGGGTTTCCTGTATGACTCTAAAAAAAGTCAAACAGAATGAAAACAGTTAATTCATTGTGTAGGATGACATTTTAAAACAAATGCATCATCGTTACCCTAAAGTGTAACAGCAGTCCTCCCCCCACCCCAAATAACCATCTTTCAACTGTTGCTAGCTCCAGAATTTGAGATGAAGACTCCATCATCAAAACACATTTTTACTGCTAAGAAAACCCTACACCTTGGGATGGGGAGGAAGGTGAAGGGGTTAAGCTCTGGCAGCAGAAATACCAGATGTGTCTCTGGCTTATCGGATTTATAGATTTATTCTGTAAAACCCCCGAATATCTACTTCTGTTGGGTATGTTTCCCTCTATTTTTAGAACAGGTCTGAACAGCTGCAGCTACATTTCTTCTGTGGTGCATTAATAAGCATACACATACGTTACACATTTGGGAAAGACAGAAATAAAGACCTGAAGTTGCTGAGGATGTAGGTCCCCAGCGGCTTAAGCCAGCCCGAGGGCATGCGGCCACCCCCTCTACTCCACATCCCACACCGCCCCTGCCCATCTCTTGCACGCTCCTGTAATAAGCACCATTGGGAAGCTGAAAAAGGGGGCAGAAGCAATTCCGCGTCAGCTGGATCAGCTACACAGCCCAAGCAGCAGTTGGACAACCCTGTTTAAACAAACAGCAATGGATTAAAACTCTACGAATGGGCCTAGTCCATTCCTGACCTCACCTACGTGTATCATATCCTTAACGCTTGGCAGCAAAGGGTTGCACAGACCAAGAGATGCATTTCTGCATTTCCCTGGGGACGACAAACTACAATTCTTGGTGGCTCCCCAGCCCATTGTTACTCTTGGGTACAACAATTTGTATGCGATTTTGGTGCCAGTCTTTAAACTGTTTCTCTAAGAGCATCTGCACCCATTTTCTTTACCTGGGAAGCAGAGGTCACACCTGAAGGAAGTCCATACACTGCAAGGACAACCGCTCTCTGAACTCAGCCGCAGGCTCTGCCCTCGGCTTTTAACTTCTTCTAGCAGTGGCGAGCGCCCCGGCAGAACGGGAGCTGCTCCTGAAGTCAAACCGAGTTACACCAAGCAGACAACAATGAAGGGTAGTACAGCAAGAGAAGTTCCTGGCCATGCCCACGGGGTTCGACAGGAGCTCTACCCTGCCAAGCCCGCACAG